CCTTATATATATATGATTATTTGTTGAAATGTGACTTTTTTAAAAATAACAATAATTTAATAAAATGAAATAAAATTACATCTTTAATAAGATCTAAAAGGATTTTTTGATGATTTGCTAAAATCAAAAACTTCTCAATATTACAAATATGTATTTCGTTATAATCAATTCAGCCATATTGTTATAAATTAACAATAAATATTTTATGTCAGAGGGGGGATATGTGGTCGGCACTTTGAAATTCTTTAAACGATAAACCTGACATTTTAAGCAATATATTCTCATATAGTGTAAACATTTCTAGTAAAAATTAAAAAATATTTTTATTAAAATTTGTTTACCCAATTTTTCACTGTAATGAATAAAAAATCTGTAATATGCACACGCACACGCCCACGCACACGCCCACGCACACGCACACGCATACATGCCCGAACATACACACGCATGTGGACATTGATACACATTTAAAAAATATCAAAATTTTTTTCTATGAGAAATTAATTAAAATTAGCAAGCTTTACAAATTGTCTATGCTTGTGTGGCAGTCTTGATCAGAAAGAATAAATCAACTTCGTAAATAAAGTTAAATTTCGTGTTTTATATCGAATGCCTGCTATTTTTATATAATGCTAGAAATATTGAAGTTAATATATGGACAATCATATAGAAGTCATAGAATTTAGAAAATATTCTTGTTTTTTCTTTCATAAAAAAAATTGCAAAACTACATCTTTTCATGTTAGGATATATAACACAATAATGGTTTGAAAGAAATTAGATTTACAAAATATAAGATACGCTTTGATCATTAGCATATTTTGTCAATGATGTATAAGTCTTTAGATTTATTATATTTATATTTTTTTGTCAACGACCCACACTATTATTTTCTTTTTATAATTTAAGAGATTTCTAATAAACAATATATTGATATAATCGTATTGAATAATACGATTCATTTAATAAAATATTTATAGTATTATTTATAAGTTATGTAAAATTGTTTTCTATTACAGTTCCTAAACATTTCATTACTTCTTATTAGGTATTTTACCTAAAAAGATCATGCTCTTATTTGATATTTCATTTAAAAAAGGGAACAAAAACCGTAGGATAGCTTTCCATTGTTTTCATTAATAAAGGAAAAAATATAGTTTTGCTTGATTTTATCCTATATATAATCTCAACGTTCGTACCATTTTTTTGTTTATTCCGGATGATTATTTGATTTTATTTCACTTCTTCTTTCTTCTTACATACTAAGAAAAAATACCAAAAATGTATTATTTTGTATTATTTATAAGTGTATATACCACATATACTATTAAATTAAAAATAATATTACCTTTGTTGCAGTCATAACATTCTGCTTGGTCGACTTGTTATCTTCTTCTTTAGAAAAAGGCGTATCAGTTTTAATTTCTTTTTCTATAATAGAATTCGCTTCAGTAGAATTTTTTAAAATTTCTGATTCAGACTTTTCAATCTCTTGAATATTTTCTACAATAGTATTAATTTCTTGCAATTTATCGCATAGATTGATTTCTATTTCATTGTTTGATGATTCTAGTGATTCGTTAACTATATCTTTCTTTAATAAACCGCTTAGAACACATTCTTCTATTGTAATCTCTGTTTCTATTTCAGATATAGTTATGCCAGTATATCTATTTTCTATATTTTCAACTAATTGCTCATTATTTTCTTCTCGACTACTATTCTTTGTCTCTTGTTGTTCTGTTTGTACATCATCTTTTTTAAGTATTGACATTTGTACTGTACTATCATTTTCAATGTTTTCCGATCTAGATTCTAACTCTGTAATATTGTCACACGATATGTCACTTATTCGTTCTATTGCCTCTTTATTTTCCTTTTCATTTAAGTTTTCAATACTAATATCAGAAGATGATTCTGCTATACTTAGTTGTGTCTTTGAATTATTTTCTACCACTGTTTTTACGTTAGAAGATTTTTCTTCCTTTAATGTTTCTTCTGTCCTATTTTCCTGAGAAACTGGGAGGTCTTTCTCCTTTAATTCCTTATCTTTACAGTTAGGTTCAGAAGAAAGTGGATGTTCAGATATAGATGAACCAATTTTTTTTTCCTCTGAACTTATCTCAGTTTTTTTTTCAGTCGTGGAATTTACATTAGATTCCATTTCTAATCTTTGTTCAAGTAGTTCGAGGATATTCGTTGGAGTGAATTGTCCATTACTATTTTCTAATAGTGTAGATCCCTTATTTAAATCATTTTCTTTCTCTTTAGATTCATCAGATGTTCGTGTAGTTGAATCAGTATTAGTCTTCGCATTTTTTTCATTCAATTGTGCAATCAAGGATCTTCTTTCATGTTGGAACATTCTACATAAGTCCTGAAGCAAAGCTAATCTTTCCTTCAACTTCACCAATTCCGATTCTCTTGCTTGCTTTTCATATACCATGTCAACAAAAACTGTATTGCTCTTCTCCCATCGTTGTTTCCATAAAGAAGTTTCTTTCTCCAAAGCAAGTATTTTCTTAGACATCTATATAAAAAAAAGAGTGAGTATATAAAATTTTAAGAAAGAAATGCAACATAATTACCAACCCTTTCCATCTCTTCGTTAAATTCTCCGCAAACTTTATTACTTCTTGTAAGAGAATTTTGAAATTCGTCATATTTATTGGTATATACGTCAATTTGGCTTTTCATAGCAGCTTCTGCTCCTTGTAATTCTTGAATTCGGGCTCGATATTCTGTTAATGTCTAAAAAAGAAAAGTTTATATTTTTTAAAAATATTCTATTATATTAGAG